TCAATTTTTTTTAATTGAGATTTATACATCATCTGAAAGCTGATTAAAAAATCAGATTTTCATTAATGTATGGTTTATTAGGATATGGCAATATTTGGCCGAATCTGAGGGTGCAAGAAAAATCTAAATATTGAGAAAATCATCTTTAAAGTTGTTCAAATGAAGTTCTTAGCAATGCATATTACTAATCAAAAATTAAGTTTTGATATATTTACGGTAGGAAATTTACAAAATATCTTCATGGAACATGATCTTTACTTAATATCCTAATGATTTTTGGCATAAAGGAAAAGTGTATAATTTTGACCCATACAATGTATTGTTGGCTATTGCTACAAATATACCCCAGCGACTTAACACTGCTTTTGTGCTGCAGGGTCACATATTTGGTTTATAAACATGCAGCGTTTCACAGATAGTGATGTTATTTTATTGCTTTAATATTTAATTATTTAATATTTTGCTTGATGTGCCCTCTTGGGGCCTCAGGAGGGACGCCAAAAGCTTTTTCCCCCCTAACTGAAATTATGCCTTTTAAATTTAAGTGCGAAGTTCAAATGTAGTTTTTCAGCCGTTTTGACAGCCCTGTTTCATAAACATGTGTTCGTCTCTCTAGCTGTACGGCGAGTTTGCGGATCACTTCCGGCTGTCGGAGTGTAAGCTGGCCATCATTCACTGCGCGGGGCATTCGGACCCCATCCTGGTGCACTCGCTGTGGCAGGAGATCGTGGAGAAGGGTAACAGCTCTCGCTGACGTCTTCCTCTCGCTGTGCTGTGGGTCGCTGTGTCTGACGGCTGCCGTTGTGTTTCAGAGCTGAGCGACAGTGTGGCCATGAGCCCGGCGGACCGCATGAGAGCTCTGAGCCTGAAGCTCGTGTCGCTGGGGAAGTTATACGCGGGAACACCTCGATACTTCCCATTAGGTACCTGTTTAACACTCTTAACTCTGTGTGTTTGTGTAGCTCATCCGGTGATTCTCTCTTGCTTTGATCCTCTACTAATTGCTTTTGTAAGTCATCAGCGTCAGCTAAATGCGTAAATGTAAATCATCGTCTGATCTCATGCTGTTTTCTTTGGTGATCTTCAGATTTCCTGGTGAAGTTTCTGGAACAGGAAGTGTGCCGGTTGAACTGGGACGTGGGTTTCGTCACCTTCACCATGCAGGAGATTGGAGTTCAGCTTCCACGACTGCTGGAGGTTTACGACCAACTCTTCAAGACACGGGTGCGAGAAATTAGTGAAAAACTATTGCAATGTTTAGATTAGGAGTTTTTATTTTAATCTACAAACCCACAGGCTGAATATCAAATTTCACTTTCTGTATTTTATCATCTCATAATCCTTTTAAGGATTGCTTAACAGTAATTATACATTTATTGACTATTATTATTGTTATTATAAAAAATGTTCTTATCAATTTATTATTTCATTTTTATCTTTTAATTTTTATTTATTTACTAATCCATAATCCTTTTAAGGATTGATTAATGGTAGTAATATATTTAAGTTATTTTTTATGATAAATTTATTTTAATATAATGTTATTAATTCAATACATTTTAAATTTATTAATCTGTAATACTATTAAGAATTGCTTTATTTATTTAAAAAAATATTTTGTATTTATTATTATTTTTACTTTAATTATTTCATTTATTTATTGATTCATAATACTCTTAATCAACCCTCTACATTGCGAGTAAATCACTTGCATATGCGACTAAATCTTCACTCTGGGCGACTAAATTATGTCTAATATTAGCCAATGACTAATAAATTCTCAGATTTTACTCGCCAGTGTGTGAGTTGGACGCTAAGTATAAGTTAGGCACAGATATATATTCACTCTCCGAACACTCTAAATCTTCACTCTGGGCGACTAAATTATGTCTAATATTAGCCAATGACTAATAAATTCTCAGATTTTACTCGCCAGTGTGTGAGTTGGACGCTAAGTATAAGTTAGGCACAGATATATATTCACTCTCCGAACACTCTGACTGAGTGCTTCAGAGTTTCACTCTCCGTCAAGCGATCTGTGCTTTTTTTCCAGTTCATCTGAATGGACCTGTATTTGACGCACCGTAAACTCTAGTGTGAAGGCGCACGACTCGCCGCCGCTTTGTCACACACACACACACACACACACAGAGAGAGAGAGAGAGAGAGTCTTACACACCATGCAGAATTGACGCGCTACATGTAAACGATATTCTTTGTTGTATTTTCCTGTCAAAATAACGGAGTTCCTTTGGAATTCTTCAGCTTTGCTGGGTTCTCCTGTAGTGGGCGGAACTAATACACAAACGACAATCTCTCAATGACAATTATTGTCCCTGTTTTGATTTCAGCAAATCAGTTTGAGCGAATGCAGACAATCGTGATTAATATTCATGGGCTCAGCATCTCATTAATCCTTATTGCGTTTTATATTGTTATTAGTAGTAGATTTCATTGTATTATTATTACTATTATTATCTTATCAGTATTATTGTTATTGGTATTATTATTATCAGTCTGGCGAGTAAACTAAAAAGAATTACTAGCCAATGGCGATTATATTGACAAGGTGTGCGTAGAGGGTTGTTAAAGATTTTTTTTAATTTATTAATCAATGGGATAACTAAACAGTAATTATATTTTTATTTATTTATTTTTCTAAATTTAATATTTACTTAATAATTTTTTATTGTTATTACATTTCTTATCTTAAGTTTATTTAATAATTTTTTTATTTAGTAGTCCATAATCCTTCCAAAGATTGCTTAACAGTAGTTATATATTTCTTTACTTATGTTTTATAATTATATAACATTTAATTATGTAATTACACTTGCTTAACAGTGGTTGTTTTTATTTTTCTAAATTTCATATTCATTTATAGTTTAATTTTTTTTAAAATTATTATTATTATTATTGCTGTATCTAAAAGTTGAAGTGTTTGTCGTGTAACTTGACATGGCATCTTAAAAAGTGACACTTAAGATTCTGAAGAGTAAACCGTGTCAGGAGTAAACAAACCCAAAAATCTTTAAATGTTAATAATAATAATTTCTGTGTGTTTCACCCAGGACCCATGTTGGCAGCGCCTTAAGAAACCCCTGCACCTGGTGGAGTGCATCCATGTGCTCCTGTCAGGATATGTGGATGACCCCAGCCGAGTGCCCACCTATGACAGGTAACCGTCTTGTCTGCCACATCTTCTATACATTATATTACACATATGTGACCCTGCAGCACAAAAGCAGTGTTAAGTCGCTGGGGTATATTTGTAGCTCCTAACAAACCATACATCAATGGAAAGATTATTTATCAATTTAGAAAACGGACCTTTATGACTGGTTTTGTGGCCCAAGGCAGTGTTGCCAAGTATGCGGTTTTCCCTCGGAATTGGGCTACTTTAACACTGTTGCCGCGGGTTGAAGCGACCCTAATAACCTCATATTTAGCCCCTGGAGTGCACATTAACCAGGGGAACCCTACCAAAAAAATTGTATTTTACATCCCGGAATGCGATTTTTACCGGGGAACCCCCCTCGAAATGCAATTGCGCTAGTTTTGAGTAAGAATTGGGTTGGTTTTGCTGTGAACACCTGGCAACCCCGGTCACATTTTTTTATCACTCACTCTCTGGTTGATTGCAGACGGAGGTTTACTAACGCTTGTCTGGATAACATCTGCGGGTATCTGGTGGAGCTGCAGTCCTTGAGTCCAAACGCGGCTCTGCAGGACATTATACGCAACTTTAAATACCTTCAGGCCAAACTGGAGAAGCTCCATTGATGACAATGAAGGACTTGCCAGCGGTCGTTTTGTTCTTGATGTCGTTTAATGGACATCCCGATACTACAGCAGCCTGACGCCTCTCAACGCACCAGGACTTCAGTCTTTATATTTACTGAAAATGAATAATGTTCACTCGTCCAGCCATGGAAATGCCCAACAGACGGCCGAAATAAACATGTATTTATATGTATTCTTCAGTTTGCATAAGTTCTTGTGGTCATCAACGGATATGAAGGTGTGTAATACATGATTTTAATTTCTTATTCAGTTATAATTAATCAATGGTGTCTGTATGTGTTCATAAACTGTCCGAGGAGGCACTTATTCTAAATGTTTTCTACTGCTGAAACACTGTCTGTGGTTGGTAACTTCCCCATGGATGCGTTTTTTTTGTTTACGTTTCTTGATTGAGATGTGGTGGTGGATGGATGGGATGAAAGGAAACATGCTCCTCGTGCGTTTTGTTCTAGTCGTCAGGTTCAACAGGGGAGACTTTTATGAAAAGGACACATTTTTATGAAAGCCTGCATCTTTTCATCCACCTTGTAGTTTTGTGTAATATGTATTGCAAATGATTTGAAAATAAAATAATAAAAAGAAAAACTTTCGTTTTAAATTACAATTGTGTAAAATGAGTAATTTTCTGAGGAGTTGTTTTTAACATTTATTTAAAAAAATCACTATATTAATTAAAATTGTATATGAATTATTTACACACTATTGATATTTTAAATGTATAAAACTGACACACATAATATAAATATGGCTTTAAATAAATTTTATAACTTGTAAATTATAATTAAAAATAATTTTGTGTGTAGTCGACTAAACGATAGCGCTTACTGTTTTTGCACATTTATTTTTTGCTTTATATTTTTACAAAGACTACATTCAAGTTACTGTAACTTTAATGTTATAATATAAAAAATATATATATATTTTTGAAAATGGTAATCTGGAGCGGGAAACAATCATTTCATTTTTACCTCAGATTGCGTTCGTTCTTTTCTCCATTTTTGGGCGGGAAAAGAAACTCCACTTCAAAGACTAGCAAGGTGAGGTCTTAACGATGTCCCTACAATATCCATATTAATATTTACATAATCAAAGTTGTCTAATTATTGTTTTGATGAATATGCTAACATAAAAAAACTCTCTTTATGAGTAACTTATGTTGGCTAGCTATAAACTAAATCTATAATATGACATGAAACTGTGGTCAAAAGTCTATCATGTGAAAATGTTAAAATCATGTTTCCATCTTAACATGTAGCTATTTTGAGGTGCAGCTGGTCAAAACAATGAGTGTTTCACTAGTTAGCAGTAAACCGGTTACCTTCCCTGAATATGTTCGTAGATTTGGATTCTTCAACGTGGAAAGCAGTTATCATTGAAATAAGGATGTTTTATTTGTAAACATTTTTTACCGCTTATTTCAGTTAATCAGTAGACTAAGCCAGTAGTAGTAACTTACACAGATGCACTGACCATAGTGTATATATATATATATATACAGTATATATTGAATATGTTGATTTGGATTCTTCAACGTGGAAAACAGTTATCATTGAAATAAGGATGTTTTATTTGTAAACATTTTTTACCGCTTATTTCTATTAATCAGTAGACTAAGCCAGTAGTAGTAACTTACACAGATGCACTGACTGACC